AAACATATTAGTTTATTACTGCAATAAATCACACATATATATAATATTTTGGTTTTATTTGTTAAGTCAAATGTTTATGTCTATTTTATTCATAACACTTTTATAATCCAATACCATACATTTAATATCAGTATAATTTATGTGATTCTTTATACAAATGTAATGTAATAAGTTTGTGATGTTATTACACATAACACTTTTGTATATAACTTTCATTTTAAAATTCTAATAAATTATTTTATTTGTTATATTTAAATAAACATATGCCTTTGATAAAATGCAAGTATATTTTAAACAAATTTACTTTTATGAATTAAATATATTAGACTTGAATATATGAATTTTACATAATAAACTAGTTACATATGATATAAACATAATTATATATAAATCTATTGAACCGTGTAATAACTAACAATAGAAACTTTATTTTAATACATTTGTACTACAAAACAATTTTTCATATATAATATTTATATTATGTCTTATGTATGATTATAATACTGTATAAAATCACAGAAAAATTACACTATTATAGTTGAGCCAAAAAGTTAATTTACTTATGTTTCATATATCAGATTCAAAATATTACCGGTATATACAAAATAAAAAGTATAATTAGATTTGTTTATATGGATATAATAATACTGTAAAAGAATTAAAATGTAATTATTTTTGTCAAAGATCACTTTTGCACTGAAAATGCACTGAAAAATGTGTAGTCTCAGCCCGACACAAACATAAAAGCATAAGTTATGTTCACAGAATATTTCAGGCGAATATTCCCAAGGAATATGCAACTGAATATTCCCAGTGAGTATTATCTCAGTTTATTCGTACAGAATATTCTCCAAAAAACTTTTCTAACAAAATATTCCTACAGAAAATCCTCGTCCAGAATGCGATTCTTGTTGTTATAGTCAGTAATTCTGAGCGCATTTGAGTTGTTATATGAGGACAGACTCTGGTCTTGCGTTATATTCACTTCGCATTCATTCACCCGTCGATCGCATGTCTTGATTCGCACAAAACACGACTGTATTAGTGATCGAAGACTATTCTGTGGGATAACAATAGGCATCAGAAATAAAGACATCCGAAATGTGTGCAAAAAAGTTTAATATAAGTTGTATTAAATACAAAGTACAAAAAAACTCTCATAAAATGTGTATATCGAGATAAACATATAAAAACTATAAATAATAGATATAAGCACTCGAAGTACATGTCTATTGAAATCTCTATCTTTAAAACTAAATCAAAATGTTGTATAAGAATATTCTGTATGCAATATCTCTAGTCATATATTTTGTATGTCTTAAGTATAAGCTATAGTGTTCTGTACAGTCATATCAAATGTTATAAAATAGGATTTGATTGAATATCCAGGTTAAATGTAATGGGATTTTGTGTAAAACCTTTATTTTTCATTTGTTTCTCATGTCTATTATGACATTTACTGCACTTTCTTATGTTTTCTATAGTAAACTCAGAGATTGAAATATTATTTGCTGAACAATAAAATCCCTTTAAGAAAATTTTAATCCTATTTTATAATAGCTCTCTCTCTCTCTCTCTTATGTAATATTTTCGGGAAAATTTGTCTCAAATATAGTCGCATAGTCTTCACACCTAAAGGAACATCACTTAAGATTTAACAAAAAAAATAAAAAGTATTTTACTTGAAATATTCTGTGTTAAAACAAAAATTTCTAAAACGATACGATATGACATTATTTTAAACTTACGAAAACATCATAATAAATGGTTTTTATATGTATTGTGAAATATGTGTTAAAAATGCTTTTTCATTTAGGATTAGGGATTCAATGCAATATATACTAAAGTACCGGGATAATCGGGTTTAATACTCTAAAATACTTACTCTAAAATTCTCGCTCATAAAACAGTACACAATGGGATTAACGAGTGAATGAAACTGTGAGATCCAGTGGCAAAAGAAGTAGGTGCCCACGTACAGATTATAAGCTACCTTGGTCTTGGCATTTAGTATCTGGGGGTAGAACCACACCAACAGCGAGAATATGTGGATCGGTAGCCAACAAATCGCAAATAGTATGACGACTGTCGACAGCATTTTGATTACCTGTCCGTACAATCAATCGATTTATTCATTGATTTATATATAAGTATATTATGTGTTAAATATAGAAATTAATGGTTTTAAAAATAGCCTGATATAATGTGTGAAAATCCATACATTACAGAATATATTCTGTGTTCAGTTAAACGTAAAATCATGTCTTAATATATTTGGACATTTTTGTGAAAAGGAGATTAATTTGTAAAAATATTTCGCAAAATTATATAGTTAATGCAATCAATATAAAGTTATATGTTTCCCACACATAATAATTCGTTGACTTTTAGTTTTCTATTAGTTAAACAGATTATGAAAAGCTTAATACCATATCACATAATGAATGACATATAATATACTAAAGTAGTTGTTGACTAATGAATAAAGAATATTCTCAAATAACAAAACTTTTAAAAGCTTTTGTTTGAATAGTCAAAAAATTCTGTGAAAAATTTATTATTAAAGATATTATGTGTGGTCGTACGACGAGACTAGTGGTAAATTGATTAATACCCGAGGTGTAATGACCGAACAAAATATGTTGTTTGCTTGATTTATTACGAAAAATATTAAATGAATTAAAAATGAGAATCGCTTTAAGTATCACAAATTTTTTCTGAGTACAGTAAATGTAAACACCATTCTAATGGTATGGCATAGTACGGTATACATATTGTAGTATCACACATGTCACCCAAAACACCCACTCACATTTTTGATATAAATACTACTTTTCGATGCCCTAATCATATAGAGCTTTAATATCATTGATTTTCAGTGAATTCTATTTTCAATTTAAAAACTCAGTCTAAAAGTGGTTAACAAACACTATAGGCATAAATGATAAAGTATAGCAATTTTGCAAGCTAGTCTTAAGGCTATAAATATTTATTTTCGCACAAGTATTAAACATTAAATACATTGGCGAGACATACATTAGACTTATACACTACTTCAAAATTCTCATATACTTATAAATTCAATATATTTTATAAATTATTAATTTTTCACCTTATATANAATTTTGCAAGCTAGTCTTAAGGCTATAAATATTTATTTTCGCACAAGTATTAAACATTAAATACATTGGCGAGACATACATTAGACTTATACACTACTTCAAAATTCTCATATACTTATAAATTCAATATATTTTATAAATTATTAATTTTTCACCTTATATACAATATTTGTATATATAATATCTGTATATATAATATTTGTCATTTTATATATGAGATTAATATGTAACTCTAACTTCAGACATGTTTAATCATATGAATTTAATTATAACATGAAATATTTGCCATTTGTTTTTAGTACTAGTGATATAACACAGAATATGATATTCTGCGAGATTACTGATAAGACANATATATGAGATTAATATGTAACTCTAACTTCAGACATGTTTAATCATATGAATTTAATTATAACATGAAATATTTGCCATTTGTTTTTAGTACTAGTGAATATTGTGTCTTATACTATAAGACGCTCTAATGACTATTCTGTAAATATAATATAAGTTAAGTTTTGAGGTACAAACTTTAGGTGTTTTATTTATACTACACACAAACATACATACACAATAAAGTAATTAAAATCCACTTTTAAAACTCTGGCTAAAAATGTTGTGAAAAAATCAATCTTTTTTCAATTGATAAGCTAAACGCAAGAATTCAGACATTTTTTTGGTAAAATAATTTTTTATGAAAACCATTTTTCTCGGAAATATTTATGCAGACTATCCATCAAAATATCGATGAATTCATGGGAAATGTCTTTGTCTACTCCGGAGATTTGATTATTATTATTATAAAAACATTATAATATGTACAGTAAACACCATTTATTTTGTTGTCATAACATGTTTACTGTAATACGTGTTTATACAACAGGTATATGGGGACCCTGTCTAACATTATTAAATAAATTCTAGTAATTTATTTGTATACATATTAATATAGGATATTTTTATAAATCAGTAAAAATATTTATTGAATAATAATGTTTACTTTTAATATAGCATAGACTGTGTGTTTATAAAATATTTATTTATTACTGAATCCGGAACTACAGTATGACTTTTATCAATATTATTTTTAGACAATTTTCTTTTTGTAGTAAATATTTTATAACTTAAAACAAATTACTATATCTTAAGACTATCCAAAGTGTTATCCACTTACGTGTTATCCAATGTAACAAAATAATTATTATTTTATAAATTAATATACGTAAGAGATAATGTATTCATAAACAAGTTTCTCTAACACTACATACAAAGCAAATAAAAGTGTTATTTACAATGAATTATATTAAAATTCATAATGATCTTAGCCTTAACTTTTTTGTTTTTGAAACTCCTATTTACTCATTCATTATATGCTATAAGTGTAAGAGTACTTGAAAATATATGTCACGGAATGTATACAAATTAATTTATTTAAGAAGCTCTTAAAGAATAAGTGCTTTGTAAAGAAAATCTTTATTTTTATTCATTTCTTAAACAAAGTATTCTTATAAAAGTAAATAATACAATAAATCGTTTATAAACACATTAAAATACTAGTTAATGAACTTATATTGTGTAGTCATAAATTATGGTGGATACAATTCTCAAGTAGCCGGGAAATAAAATCATTTATATCAATAAATGTTTTCGAATAAATGTCATTCAATATAATTGAATAAGTAATCCACAATCATATCAACTTTTATACACCCAGACATAAAGTTCACAAATACTATGAACAATAAATTATTTAGTATAGCCTTAGAAACAGGGTTAGTGTTATACTGTAGCTTTACGATACATTAGCTTACTTAGGATTACTTTTAACAAGGCATTCTTATATAATACATATAACACATAATTTGTATTGCTTTACTAAAATCCTATTATCGAAAACAAAGTAAAACTTTTATAAGTTATTTAAACTTTTGATGCAAATGCTGAACTCTGTTATTGCCTAGATAATAAGAATAATAAGATAACATATAAATTTATGAGATAAAATCTTGCAAAAAATATCCTGTATTCATTTGCTAAGTATACAGAATATTCCGTATAAGGTTTCCATTCATTACACACACACACCGGATAACTACACTGTATATTGTGATGAAGTTCACGGAAAATAAAGATCTAATAAACTATTATCAGTGAAAATAATATACGTCTGAAGCACTCGATGATAGGAATAAGTACTCCCAAAGAGATATATTGTTTCGCAAACGGATAGTATATATCAGAGATATATTAATGATTTTTTTGCCCATTGTTTTGTTTTTCGCAATTACACGTGTAATTCATATACCAAAGGCCAGGGATGATGGGTATGACCAGCGGCGGAATGTGTAGGCATTCCTTACGGTTCGATAGGTTTTTCAATTATATTTTAAAGTTTTTAAGATTAATAGAAGTTTTTAGAGAAAGAAAAGAAAAATTTTGCTGAAAACCTAAAAAATCTGTAGAGTTTGCGGATATAATTGAAAATTATTATTATTATTGATTATTGAAATAAATCTTTAAATATAAAAAATGTTAACAAGCATAAGTTTTTTTTGGCAATATTTATTAATACTACTTATAAATCCTAAGTCCTATTCCTTATATAATACATGCTACCGTAATTTATATTGCTAATTGTTATTTATGGGTAAATATATTTTATCCTACTTTTTGAGATCGAAATTCAATACTATTATGAATTAAAGACAATCAGAAAAAGGGAATTGTATTTCAAACCCGGATAAAAACCGATATTTTGGATATAATGTATATGATTATATTCAGTGTACTATACAGTGTATAATACACCATACAATGTGTTTATTATACACTATTTTCACACATTATGTCTACTATAAATAACTTATCATTTAATTAAATTGAATATAAAATTATATTGAACTCAAGATCTCATTAATTGATTATAAATGAGATTTTTATACACCAAACTCCCTCTAAAAGCACATCCATTAGTGTAATAGCTGTGACACAGTATTGGGATTCCAATGAATAACATAATATTAAAGTAATTGGAATTTGTTTTTGTTTTTAAATGAATCCAGGATATTGTGTATTCAATGAAATTTTACGCTATTTTCTCTCTCTCACACACACACACACACACACACACACACACAATGTGTGAAAATCCATACATTACAGAATATATTCTGTGTTCAGTTAAACGTAAAATCATGTCTTAATATATTTGGACATTTTTGTGAAAAGGAGATTAATTTGTAAAAATATTTCGCAAAATTATATATTTAATGCAATCAATATAAAGTTATATGTTTCCCACTCATAATAATTCGTTGACTTTTAGTTTTCTATTAGTTAAACAGATTATGAAAAGTCTAATACCCTATCACATAATGAATGACATATAATATACTAAAGTAGTTGTTGACTAATGAATAAAGAATATTCTCAAATAACAAAACTTTTAAAAGCTTTTGTTTGAATAGTCAAAAAATTATGTGAAAAATTTATTATTAAAGATATTATGTGTGGTCGTACGATGAGACTAGTGCTAAATTGATTAATACCCGAGGTGTAATGACCGAACAAAATATGTTGTTTGCTTGATTTATTACGAAAAATATTAAATGAATTAAAAATGAGAATTGCTTTAAGTATCACAAATTTTTTCTGAGTACAGTAAATGTAAACACCATTCTAATGGTATGGCATAGTATGGTATACATATTGTAGTATCACACATGTCACCCAAAACACCCACTCACATTTTTGATATAAATACTACTTTTCGATGCCCTAATCATATAGAGCTTTAATATCATTGATTTTCAGTGAATTCTATTT